CCCTGGACCAACAACATCAAAATATGGGTGGAAAAGGTGAAACACCTACACCTGCCCCCACCCTCATTTACCCCACTCTGGGCCCCTGAGCAAGGTCCTTAACACCCCAGCTGCTCCCCAGGCACTTTAGATGGAAGCCCACTGCTTCACATGTGTGCACATGTGCAATGGGAAAAATGCAGATAATTCATTTCCCCATTGGAGATTGAGTACACAAAAATACACATAAATATAAAAAACAGGTTTAGACAAGTACAATAGCTTGTACTGACTCATTTAAAAATGATACAGCTTGCTAGCTAAAATGCTGATGAGAAGGAACTTTGTAATACAGTTTATTACATTAAAAGTATTTTTAAATTCCGAATATTCGACAACAGACTGTGACCACATGTCTGCTGCTAAAAAAAATTAAAACTCCTTTAGCATTTGTTATGATTTTGTTCCGGTCAGAATCGTTAGCGAGCAGCTTTTTAAATGCTACAGGCAGCAGGGTTTGCACTTTAGCTTCTTTATTTGTTTAGTTTTATTCTAGCTACATTAACATTTGGGTGATGGCTTCTCATCGGAGTAATTAAGTTCACATGGAGCCAGCTACAGGCCTTGTTGTAGTTGAACAATGCTGACATAAAGCTTTTGCTCCATCCACTTCTTTTTCTCCGCCATCGTTAAAGTCAGCTAAAATACTGTAGTTCCCACAAAGCATTTTTAAAAATAGTGGTGGTTCCCAAACTCTGTTCTGTCTGTTCTCCATGTTGTTTCATGGCGGTGTTCTCTAAAAGCTGCATGGCAGTACGTCGAGTTTCGTACTTCAGTTCCACACAAACATTTTGCGCGTGTACCCAAAATTTGTATATACATTCATTTACTTTTACTCTCCTGTTATTTACTTAGAATTGCATAGTTACTTGCATGCGCAAAGAGCAGCGCCATCCAGCTGTGGCACCTCAGATTGAACAAAAAATACATGTGCCTAACGCAACACTGAACTAACACAAAAGTGATTTAATTTTAAGATTGAACTTCATTTAATCTAATTTTTAATTGGCCCCACTTGACCTAGCTCAGAATAAATCTCTGCATTTCAAAGATTAGGTTTTAAAAAAGAGCTATCTACAACAGGTAAGACATCAATGGTTCATAACATTTACGAACAAACTAGCTTCAAAGGATTTGAAGATTCTCTCTAGCTGCTCCTCTGCTGCTGTTTTTTATGTCTCACATTAAAAAATCCAACTCTCATCCTTCTCCCAGCTACCTTCCAGCGTATTGTGTCCCTTTCAACCTCTGCATCCGTCATCAGACTCACCTTCTAACCCACACGTCACATCGGCTCACAGACAGGGCATTTGAATGTGTTATTTATTGAACCTCTCTTTCTCAGATGATCCAAACCACACAAATGAAAAAAAAAGTTTTATAAGAGAAATGCATAATAATTTTTTTCAAGTGCATTCATAACCTTGCTATTCATATTTCCCTCCCTTTATCCCCTCCTAAAGCTGAAACCTAATTGTTAAGGGTGTTATTTGTTGTATAGACTGGTATAGCAGGAACATTAAACATGTTTTTCATCACTCTTCTCAGGGGTATGTTTCATTTTGAATGCAGTATAGATTTTTTTTTTAAAACACAGACTCGTAAATACCACTTCCATTACAGCACCCTGGAGAAATCATTTTCACAGCCATGTTTAGCCACAGAACCCCCTACCCTTTAACTTCCGTCCTCCTCATCACAGGAGAAGCGTGTGAGACCAAGAGAACATCTGTTAGATAGACCTTTGATCTAGCCCAAGAGACCAAGCCGGGACCGCTCTGGCCAAGTTTTATTTGCATATATGAACTAAAATATGTAAAAAAAAGTCAAGGCCACGTCATGCAAGTTACATAAACTTGCACATTACAACAGCAGAAACATGCAGATTTGGAATGGCGTTGTGTCAGATAAACATGCAAATAAATAATTGAAATGCATATTTAAAGAAGGTAAAGTGACACTGTGATTCTAAAAATTATGCATGCTGTCTGATCTCCTCAAACATGTGCCAGCATGCATCTGGTGGAACATTTGTGCTCTGGTGCAATGCAACACTGCTATCTCCTGTCCTCAGAAGTAACTGCAAGACTGCAGCAAATTAATCGAGTGTGAACAAGTGATGCTTTGTTTTAATTTGCCCATATATCTGACATGCTGAGGCAGCACAAAACTCTATGTACATCCCAGCAAGTCTGAACTCTGCTTGTATTTGTGTGTGGGTTTACCCAAAGAGGCATTCATTTGTACGTTTTTTATTGGCCAAAATATTAAAAAACATCTCTATGAGCATGTGCTTCTTTTTCCATTTAGTCTATATTCAGCATGTTCCTTTTTGTTCTTGTTTTCTATTCCTTTTCTCTTTTTTTTTGCAGCCACTCATAAAAGCACACAGACATGATTCTCCTCTTAGGGTCCTATATTTATGTACTTACCTCATACAAATGTTGCCCTCTCCTCCCTCCCATATGTATTCTCCCACCTTCTGTTTCTCTGTCTGCCTCCCTTAGCATCCCCCCCACCCCCATTCCTTCTCTTCGCCTCGGTCTGACGTCACGGTAACCGCAGTATGAGATTCAGGGCTCACTTGACACATGATGACAAACAGACAGACATGAGAACCTGCAGAAGTTCGAGGTAGAGTTTGATTGAGCTGCACACATGTTGCTGTTGCACATCAGGTGAATGATCTGGGGCTACTTGGGCAGCAAGCTGCAGGCAAGGTTGATGGCTTCAGCATTTTTAATGACGTGAGTCACTCTGACACGTTGCAGCAGACCGAGCATGCAGGCCTTGGAAGAGGTTTAGAAAGGGAGGAGTGATGTGTCAGCAGTCATCACCAGACAAGAAAGCAGTCCGAGAAACAGAAAGACGGATGAGAATGTGGATTTATTTGTAGGGAAGAAACACAAGTTTTCACCATATGTGCACAGGTCATAGAGAAAACAAACATACGATGGGAGGAGGAGGTGTTGCTGGAGCAGGAAGGTAAACTGTTTGGTGACAACGAGTGATGCTCGATTAAGATTCATGGCGATTAGCATTGTAAAGAGTCCTCGGCTGGGAGGCTGTGCTACATGTGTTTTCATGTGCAAACACATAAAAACTGAAATAAATTGAAGTCTCTAATTGTGCACTTTTATCTAAGCAGCCCGATCCGTGCACTCGGTCAGCAACAATATTTAAGTAATTGCTGTGTTGTTTCTTTAAAATAAAAATAAAAAATGGATAAAAGAAAAGGATTGTCGCTTTAGATAAGATAAGACAAGACAGAACTTAATTGATCCCACAGGAAATTGTTGTGCCACAGTTTGAATATAAAGGAACTTACACAAGGAATCACACAAGATATTAAAAATAATATCCATCCATCCGCTTCTTCCATTTGGGGTCACGGGAGTCGCCGGTGCCCATGTCCAGCAATCACTGTGCGAGGGGCGGGGTACACCCTGGAGAGGTCTCAAGTCCATCACAGGGCCACATAGAGACAAACAACCATTCACTCTCTCATAAAAAATAACAGATAACAGAAAAAAAAAATACCACAGATATATATATATATATATATATATATAAAAACCCTGACAATTAAGGTCCAAAACAGGTCAGGTGTGGACTGAAACATTAAAGTGTTTATTGTAGTGAAGGATTCATTTTTATTGTCCTGTGTAGAAAGAGAGGAGTTGAAAAGTCTGATAGACACAAGGAGGAAGGACTTCCTGTGGCGTTCTGTGGAGCACCTCGGTGGTCTCAGTCTACAACTGATGCTGTGGTAAGAGTCAGCGTGGCATGCAGGGGGTGTGACGTGGTCACTTTCCTTTAAATGCCACGCTCAGAAAGAATAGAATAACATATTATCTGAATAGTATGAAATATGTTGTGTTTTAGAACAGATTTTAATGTTAAACATATAAAAACATCTAAAAGCAATACACGTCTTGATTTTTTTTAAATAAATGTGTAAAAAGTTATTTTTTTCCTTTGTAATAAATCAGATTTAAACTACCCAATTAGACTATAAATTCCTTACGTCCAGCACTGTAAAGGAACATGGTAATTGACAAAATGTTTCAAAACAAAACACAATAGTCAATAAATAAAGAAATGTCACATAAAACCTTTACACTCAAATTGAATCTAAAATGTGGTTAATGTATAAAAGCAATTTTTTAAATATATTTATTTGTAATTCAACATTTAAAACATGGGGGAAATGATAATGGTAAAAGGGCTTCAATCCTTGATTAAATTTAAACATGGCTTATTTAAGTTGAAATGAGGAACTGAGTAATAATGAATTATGCATGCTATTTAAAAGTATTAACAGTTTGTGACTCAATTTTTAATTTGTATTTTTTTATTTTAAACATGTGTATGTATGTATGTATATATATACTTTGTTCTATTTGTGTTCGCTTTATAACCCCCTGGCATTATTGCCTTATTAATTTTGTTTTATAATGTTGATATGTCATGTTTGTGCTGATGTTCAATGTTTTATGAGTGCTTAGTGTATATTTAGTTGATGTTTTTCTTAGTTCATATCTTAGATGTTATTACTGTTTTTCTTATACATTTTATTGTTGGATGTAACTGGGACCCCGTGTACATAATTTCGCTCCACCACATGTACCACATGAGGTGCGAATGACAATAAAGAAACTCTGACTCTGACTCTGATATTGTTAACACTTTTTTGTCAATTAAAAAAATAAAAAAATAAACATGGCTCCCTCTTAAAAATTATAGACCTAAAACGTGTCCATCAAGGCAGGAGCATGTTTGGTTCTAAAACAGCTGGACGTGGAGTCCGCACTCAGCTCGTTTTGTGGTGTTGTACAGTGAATCGTGACCAGTGAATTCTGAGCCCGTATGCGTAAGCAGTTCAGGTCGCGAGGCTGAATGAATGGAACAAACCAGTGCCTGCGTCACCGGTCGCGGAAGAATACACTTTAGGAGGCGGGGTAGTGTAGTTCCGGGACATAGAACTACTTTTTTCGGGAGGAAAAGGAAAACCTTAAGGGCGTAAGAATACTATGGAGCTATCGCTTCCTCTAGCAGGTGCACAACATACGCAAATTATCTTTACGAGGCGAAAGATGCCCTAGGATGTGGTGTTTTCCTTTTTGTCGACGACGAAACGCACTTTCACCATAAACTAAACCATTGCGCTTTCACAAAGATAATGTCACGGTAAGTGATTCGAGGAGGTTGTGTTACTAGCTATAATGTAGCACGCTAACAACTGAAAAGTCCGCGTGGACAAGTGAAAGCTAGCCTACTTAGCATTAATTAATAAAAGGCATGTGTGTCGTAACTGCTCCATTAGCACGGACTAATATGCAATCAGTTCTAAAAACGAGTTTATCGCGCTGTACCTGACGTCAGCTGTGGTTTGACGTAACGCTAATTTAATCCGCTGTATGCTTTCTGTATGCTTCTTACGCAAAAAGCGTAACGATTTTAACGTGTCTTGCTTTTCAGTATACTAAATGATTGTCAGCCAAAATAGACCAGATAAAAAGCTGGATCACTTTGTATGCCCTCCAGTTGTGTTTTTAAACACTAATAACAAGGGTAGCAAGCTTATGATTTTGTAGTTAAGCTGTACAACTGTGATTTGTTTATTTGGAGCAGTAGTTTATAAAATTACCTTACCAAACAGAGGTTTTTTTTGTTTGTTTACTTTCAGGAAACAAGGTTTTTCCAATAGCCTCACTTCCCACTCATCCTCTGTGACACGTGACTCTGTAAGAGCAATAACTGGCCAATGTTTCAGTTTTGTGTGGAAACGGTGTGGTTGTGTTTTATGGGCAACACAGTCTAAATACCAAGAGCTTTCCATGCAGCAGGGACAGGAGCAGTTCTGTTGTTGCACAGTAACTGTTCACTGCTCACCAGGATTTATCTCGCTGCTGTTGGTTTGGCAGGGTGTTGAGCACCATGTGCAAACACATGAATGGCCACACCTTCTTAAATTTCGAAGATCATCTCCTGTTTAGAGCTTTATCAGCTGTTTACCTATTGTGTGTCCAAAATTTGAGAGCATGGCAAATATAATAGATAGATAGATTGGTAATTTTCATTTCTTTCTGGGCTGTCTAGCTCCTAACGGTGGTGACACTTCCCTGAACTCATAAACAGCTCTTACATTTTTCTAGACAGAGCACTTCTAAACAAAGATAATTTATAATTAAGGATAATTCATAATTTATCTTACTTTGACATATTTACTTAACCCCCTATATCCCTTGGGCCAAAAGGACCCTTGAGGTCTCTGTTTCAGATTTTTTTTTTTTTTTTTACTTAAACCTATTGTGCAGAACTTTGTTGTCTGCCATCTGGCAGGGAAAGTAATTACAGACATTGTCGGCATGATTGACAATAAAGTTGATTAGTGTTTGTTGCAAATGTCGTGTTTGTATTTCAGACTTATGCAGTTATTTCTGTCGCGTCGCATTTTTCATAAGCTTGCTTTTAAAATGTTCATTTATATATCCAGTCATTCTTGGCAAAGACCTGGCTTGATGTCTGCAGAAAATATTGTCAGACTGCATTCTTATGAAATAATCATTTTGCTTTCATTTAAATGAGTTTTTATTTTTTTATCGGCTGCTACTTTCTGCAGGGGTTGCCACATTGAGCGAACTCGCATGAAATATTTGGCAATTTTTATTTATTCTTTTGCCAGATACCCTTCAGTCTCAGGATTACTAATCTAACCTGAGTTATCTGAAAACAATTATTAACCGAAGCATTTCTTGAAATACCTGAAGTGTTTGTATTTTTACTCTCAGCAGTTTGGGGCTTAATCGGAATTTATTCTAAGGAGGAATCAATTTAGAAAAACCTTTTTCGTGTGTGTCATAATTTGGCTGCTAGCTTATCACTTTGTGCAACAGTTTTACAAGAAGATGGGATTCATTGATGATTGTTTTTTTTAGACCAGTGATTAAATTGTTAATGCTCTTGTAGGGGAGTATCTCAACAATCCCGGCACTCCCCCGAGTTGCACACAGAGCTCCCCTAAAAGCACTTGGCCATCCTCCCAACCTCAAATTGATTTTTCATCTCTCCAAGTCCTAAATCCCCCCAACAAATGCCACAAGCTTCTTGCTAGAATTAATCATTTTTGGCAGAGAGGTTTAATTTGAGTTAGTCTTCTTTCTTCCAAAGTTACAGTTTTTTCATTATTTATGTATGTTCTGTATGTATTTTTTTTTTGTACTTGTATTCTACATTGTGTCTCTGCACATACTTAGACTGTACTTGTTTGTTTCCACAAGAATGAAGTATCTGTTGTCAAATGTAAAAAAAAAGTGTTGCTGCCAAGGACCCATCAGTGTTGATTGTTGCTGAAACTTATATTTAGGCTGCAACACATTCATTACATGCTTTGTCTTCCCGCGTACTTCATCTAAGCATATCTCTGAGCTGCATGCACCACATGTAAAGCATGAGGATATGAAATGTATCCAAATGTTTGAATGTCAATTTTACTTTGAATGGGGCCAATTTGTTTTATTGCCTGTTTCATCTATTGAATTGGAGCAATTCCAAGACCTTTTCAAAAGCATGGGTTTAAACTGGGACACAAGTCCCAGTGAATAAAATGAATAAAGTGTGTGAAATAAGTTTAAATTTTAACTCTTTTCTCACAGACTGTAATTGTGATTATGGTTTTAAATATTTGTCCTTACGCTTTAAGCTTTGATAAAGTTTAATGAAATAGTTAGCTTATCATAAGTGCAGCAGCTCTTGGTCAGAGAAATGGGACACAAAGATTTTTTTTTTTTTAGTTTTCTTTTACTTGCCATATTAATATAGAACCACAGAGTTTGTCTGAAGTAAGGTAAACATTCTTTTTTCATTTACCCTCTATTTATAGTATAATAAATATTTCTTCTAAGTTAGAAAAGGCTTGCCATTTTGAAATTAATATTTAAAGGGGGTGGGTGGGAGCAGAAGCAGCTGCAGAACAAAATGTCAGAGTATCAGGAGGTTTTAAAAACGCTGCACGACTTGTCCTGGTAAGACCGCTGCTGAGATAACCAAGTCAGACTCGTTTAAATGATTCAGTTATAGAAATGAGAACTCGTACAAACACGTCGAGCTCTGTGTCGTATCTTTTCTCAAGGATTTAAATTTTTTGTTGGCACTGTCCAAAAATTACTTTGCAACTATTTTTCTTTTGTTTTTTCCAGAGTGGCCATCAGCTGATGTTTGTCTCTATAGTCTCTTATTGATTTATCAGCAACATGTCTGGTAGGTATTAACTGAATTTACTTTCTTTGGTATCCATGTATAAATTATATGTCCCATTTGTTCTGTTTTTAACTTTTTAACTGTATCTGATATCCACATGTTTGTTTTTCTGTGTTAGGTACTTACACTCCAGCTCCTGGAGGACCGTTTTCTGCCCTTACCCCGAGCATGTGGCCCCAGGACATTTTGGCCAAGTATCATTCAGTAAGAATCTGATTTTCAATGCCATCAAAAACTTTTTTCTGTTCTTTTTCTTAAATTAAACGGAGAACTTGCATCTGTGCATGATAAGAGAAAAAAGTTAGGACCACATAAAAAGGAAGTGTGTTGCCTCGTGACACAAACTTGCATCTTCTTAGACCATAAAGAATTAGTCTCTCTTAAAAGAAATAGGAAAATATGTAATGTAAGATTACTAAACTATTTTCCTTTGATTTATTTAATTTATTCCCTATTTTTTTCTTCCTTTTTTATAAGTGTTTTCTGTATTTAAGCTAAATTGTCTCTTTTCTTGATACTTTGAAAAGAACACAAACATGTTTTTTTTTATATGGTATCACTCATGATCTGATGCTGATCTGAACTGTTTAATTCATAATCTTTCTGTTGTGATATTTGCACTCATTGGTTTCATGTTCCATTTTTATCTCTACAGAAAGACTCAGCTGAGCAGCCTGAAGTACAGTACGATGAGTTTGGCTTCAGAATAGACAATGAAGGTATTTTTCCCAACAGTTTTCTTCATTGTGTTATTTACAGCACTAGTAAAATTTCTAAACCTAATTTAGAAAGAACAAAGTCTGTGTATCTGGGTACAAAAAGCACTTTGTACACACGTGATCTCAGAGTTGTCCATTAAGTATATATTTTTTTGTTTTTACCATCAGTTTTTGAACAAACTTTATTGATAACCTCATGGCTCAGAAGGTTTTCTCCATGTTCCTGCAACAATTAAACATCTAGCCAAAAAAGGTTAAAAAACAGAAACAACAGGACTTTTGTTCTGAAACTGAAGATGACTATCACCAACCACTGGAGCACAAACTACACCACTGGGCTGAACATGTCCCCACAAAGACGGAAGGGAAGGAAAAGGAACGGTAACGTATCAAAGAAGCTCTCCAAACCTGTGGATATCCTAACTGGACATTTGTCACCAAAAAAAACAAAACACAGTAGAACATAACGAGGAGAAGAGCAAACACAAAAACATTGTCATCCGATATGTGGCTGTAGTATTTGAAAAGCTCAGAAGGATTTTCTCCAAACACAACATCCTGGTACATTTTAAATCCAACAGGACCCTCAGACAGAGGCTGGTCCATCCCAAGGACAGAACCTCCAAACCCAAACTGAGCGGTGTGATGTCTGCAGGTCAGTGCAGTGAGGAATGTCAAGACCTCTATATTGGAGAAACTAAGCGAACTCCACAGAGACACATGACTCGATGCCACAGAGCTAGCTTTTCAGGACAAGACGGAGTGGTCCACATACACCTCAAGGATGAGACGCTCTGCTGAGGACCAGAATGTTCATATTTTAGGCAGAGAAGACGGGTGGTTTGAAGGAAGCCATTTACATTTTTTTTCCCAGATCAGAAATCCCTAAATGTGCAGTTTTGAACTGCAGGCAGATTAGTTACTGGTCTAATGATGGAGATGACTTTAAGATAAGCTAATTTAGGTTTCAGAACAATGTGCCTAAAGGTTTTTTACCACATTTAGTGTTGGCAAGGACATGCACTACTAGGAGTTACAGTTTATGGTAAATGTTCAGTATTTACCACAGTCAGATAACCAACACACTACTAGTTTGCTAAAGGTTGATATATTCTTTTTTTTTTTCTAAGCAAATCAAGCATTTTTTTTTTCTATTTTCAGTAACATGAGCATGGACTTTATTGTTATTCTCAGTAACATTTAATGACATTTAAATGGACATTGCTTTCAGAAAATTGCTAATATTTAAAACATTAAGATAGCAGAACAAACTCGGCATATAGTCCATTTATAAGTTACAGCTTTTGGGTTACAACTTTTTTTTACAGGCTTCAACTTTTTTTAAATTCTTTTTTTTTTTTTTTTTGTAACTATAATTTCATGAGGGGCAGCACGGTGGCACAACTGGTATAGCTGCTGCCTCTCAGCGAGCAGGTCCCTGGTTCAAATCCCGGTCTGGGGGCTTTTCTGGGTGGAGTTTGCATGTTCTCTCTGTGCTGCATGGGTTTCCTCCCACAGACCAAAAACATGCATGTTAGGCTGATTGGTAACTCTAATTTTTTTTTTTCATTTACCCTTTATTTATCCAGGTAGTCTCACTGAGCCACGAGAACTCATTTTCAAGAGAGACCTGTTTAGGGAGCAGATGGGGGGTTAAGGGCCCACTCTGGGCCCATGAGCAAGGCCCTTAACCCCTCATCTGCTCCCTAAACAGGTCTCTCTTGAAAATGAGTTCTCGTGGCTCAATGAGACTACCTGGATAAATAAAGAGTAAATGGAAAAAAAGGGCCTTGCTCAGAGGCCCAGAGTGGGGCAAATGAGGGTGGAGGGAGGTGTGGGTGTTCCACCTTTTCCACCCACATTTTGATGTTGACGGTAGCGGGAGTTGAACCTATGGCTTTCCGATCACAGGCCCATCTTCTAACCTCTGTGCCACCACTCCCCCCTTTTTTTTTGTCCCTAGGTGTGAGTGAGAGAGTGAATGGTTGTTTGTCTCGTTTGTCTCTGTGTCCCTGTGATGGACTTGGACCTGTCCAGGGTGTACCCCGCCCCGCGCACAGTGATTGCTGGACATGGGCACCGGCGACCCCCGTGACCCAAAATGGAAGAAGTGTGTAAAAGATAATAGAGGGATTGATAATTTCATGATGTCTTTTTTTTTTTAAATTTATTTAAATTTCCTGTCCTCAGTTAAGGAGATTTCTTGTTACTCAGTCATGAAAAATATTTGATTTGAAAACATAAATGCCACTGGAGCTGGATGCATTTTATTTCCTCTTTTAGATGATAAGCCTAGGCCTGTGTTGGGCACAGAGGGCTCAGCTCAGCGTGAAGACCCCCAGCAGCGACTGCGGTGGCAGGCCCACCTGGAGTTCACGCACAACCACACAGTGGGTGACCTGACCTGGGATCTCATTGATCCTGTCCTTCCACGCTCTGAGCGTCTGCGCTCCCTGGTGCTTGGCGGCATCCCTCACAGCATGAGGCCACAGGTGGGTAGACTCTAGCAGTGAGGACCTCAGCTAAAGGCAGGACAGTGTGGGCTAAAAATCAAACCAGGCTAAAGAGAAAAGTCCACTTTAGACACCTCAGACTTTTCTAGTGGCCTGCCTGAATGATGTATTTGTACGTTTTACAAATGCATTTCACTTTCATCATGTCACAAGGCTCAATAGACGCAGCAGTCGGTTGCTCAGAGAAACTACAGATTGCTTTAATAAATAACTTCTCTGGTTTTTCCCAATATGATTACCTGCAGCACCGCATCTTTTTTCATAGCGTCTGAACCAAATAAACTAACTGTGATGTTCTTCTAATTAAAGCTGGAGATTATTTTTATCTGATCGTGCTTCTAGCTGCTTCAATCCACCGCCGTTTTATTCAACACAATCTGCATGTTAGATTAACATAATTCTTGGTAGCAGCATAAAAATTGCCAATCTGGAAAACCTTGCAGAATTGTGTGGGTGTTTTATATTTTTATCTGTCAAATAGTGAGGTGTGATTCTTTAGAAAAAAACATAATTACTTGAGTTAATGTAAATGTGTTGCTAACATTGACTTTAGTAACTGGTTTGGTTTATTTGTCATATGCAAAATCAACACAAGGTCAAAAATGAAATGAAATGAAATGCTGATGACGAGAAGAAACATCTCGACTCGCTAAAAAAAACGGTAACAAGAAATGCCAAAGCACGCAGCAAAAATAGAGAACCAAGGTGCCAAAAGTGAAAAATAAATCTACAGCAGCATGGTCCTTTTGGCAGAGTGGTTCTGTTGGCAGTGAGGTTCTCCTAGCAACATGGTTATCTTAACATGATCCAGTTAGCAGCATGATACTATTAGCAGTGAGCTTTCCCTTAGCAACATGGTCCCACTGGCACCATGGTTTTGTTAGCAAGTCTTGTTAGCAGGTCCCGCTAACTTTCAGAGAAGAGACGTTTTCAGCTGCTTTCATCCATTTCTGCTTCATTGTAACCATTTCCCCTAATCCAACATTTTTCAGTCAGGTCATCTGGACAGTTTCTTTTCTTGTGCTGAAACGTTTCGCCTTCGATCCGGAAGGCTTCATCAGTCAAGGAAACGCACAACAAAACTGATTCTTCCCCCAACAGCTTACTCCAAAGAGGAACAAACCATTTCTGCTTCCGATTAGATGGTCTCTTTGGTACGCCCCCTCCTCCAGTGCCGGCCCTCTTCCTTGTTGACAGTCTTGTCAAACTGGTTGAAAACAACAAAGTCACGTTTCAGCACAAAAAAAGAAACTGTCCAGATGACCTGACTGAAAGATGTTGGATTTTATACCAGGATTATTGAGCATGGACTTTGTCGTTTCCCCTAATGTGTTGATTTAAATTGTAATGTCAGAATTAAATCATGTATTGAGAAGAACCCTGTGAATGATGTTACAGTTTACTAATTTAATGTGCAGTCTTATCTAACATGGTATCTATTGTCATTTTCTGTCATTCTGGGGCATATCTGAAAAACTGTAAGGCTGACAGAAAGAAGGAGGAAAAAAAAACCACTAAAGGCCATCGTTATAACAGATTGAGCCACCATTCTAAAATATCACAATCCTAATAAAGGCTTTAAACATACATTTAAAGATATTTCTGTCTTAGTTATGGATGCGTCTGTCCGGAGCGCTGCAGAAGAAGAGGACATCAGAGATCTCTTACAAAGAAATCGTCAAGAACAGCTCTAACGATGACACCACCGCTGCTAAACAAGTAAAATCTCTTACAGGATTTAATTTACTGTTTACTCAAATTCAAGCAGTACTGCCTAAATAATTTTTTTTTTTTAAAAGCATTACATATTTGAATAACGTTTCAAGAAAATATTAAAAACTGGAAAACCTTTATAATGTAGACGTTCAGCTGTGATTCTGTATATCCAGTGTTTCCCCTACCATTATACAGGCGGGGTGCCCCACCCCGTCAACAGAACTGAGCACCCCGCCTACCAAACTGAACTTGCCCCTCCCACCCCCACCCGGCACTGACGTATCACTAAGCTAGAGGCTCAAAATACAGGCGCTCTAGCTAAAAAGCCAAAGGCAGCACTCGCATTGCCTCTTCCCACAAGCTGAACGCCCCCCAACCACGCTCAAAACTGTTAGTACAAGCTGTGCTCAGACATGTCTCCGTCCCCCCCCATCAGCAAAAATCAAGGATGAGATGAGCACCCCGCCATGGCAAGCTAACTAGGGGAAACACTGGTATCAATTTAAAACTACCACACTTTGGAGATTATAAATATAATTCAAAGTGATGACGGGTGTTTTTACCCCTGTGTGTCCTGATCTGTGAAACAGAAGGATGGTTTTAATGTGCATCTTACAGATAGAGAAGGATCTGTTACGGACGATGCCAACCAATGCATGTTTCAGTAGTCTGACCAGCATCGGTGTACCGAGGCTGAGACGGGTACTGAGAGGCCTGGCCTGGCTCTACCCAGATATCGGGTACTGTCAGGGAACCGGCATGGTGAGAACTCGTCACAGCAGCTGTCTCTCATTTTCAGCTCTACCTTTTATAGCAGTTTATTTCTCGTTTGTCTTTTTTTTTCCATTTTCAATGTTAAAGTCTTCTCTGTTCCTAAAACATTTGCATCTAGGTTATTTCCTGCCTCTTGCTCTTTCTGGAGGAAGAGGATGCTATGTGGATGATGTGTGCCCTGATCGAAGACCTCCTTCCTCCCTCCTACTTCTCCTCCACTCTGCTGGGGGTCCAAACAGACCAGAGGGTCCTTCGACAGCTCATTGTTCAGTATCTGCCAGCTCTTGACCGCCTTCTCCAAGAGCATGACATAGGTAAATAGGGGTTCAGTCTTAATAAAGCATACTCAAACATTTACATTGAGGAAAAAAATGAAGCTAAAGCATTTTGATAGGTCGCATCTCTTGAAAAATATGAGTATACACAGTTTAACACCGTTTGATTTGTACACACAGAACTGTCGTTGTTAACGTTACACTGGTTCCTGACATCATTTGCCAGTGTGGTGGACATCCGTCTGCTCCTACGGATCTGGGATCTACTCTTTTATCAGGGTTCAGTGGTCCTCTTCCAGATCACACTGGGCATGCTCAAAATTAAGGTAGCATCACCAGTTCAGCAATTCTTGACATATTCTTACTAAACATACAATTTAAAAGAAAAGCAATTAAAGCTAACATTTTTTTAACTTTCACCAGTGATATTGAAATTGACAATCTGCTTTTGTTGCGTACTAACATTCCTAACAATTACTTTACGACTCCAGGAAGAAGAGCTTGTATCATCCGAGAACTCTGCATCCATATTTAACACGCTGTCAGACCTGCCAAGTCAGCTGAGGGACAGGCCTGCGGTTCTCGGAGAGGCTATGAGGCTGGCGGGGAATCTATCCCAGGAAACTCTGGAAGCTCACAGACACAAACATCTTGCTTATATTCTGAATGAACAGGCACAGCTCAACAATGGAAACAACGCAACACTCGGCACCAATCTCAACAAGGTCGGTGTGCCCAGATTTTACTTTTGTCTCAAGACTGAATAATTTTTTAAACCAAACGTGTCTGTGTTAAAATATTTCTATTTTGCATATGTTTAGGTGGTGAGGAGACAGTCTCTGCGCAGGAAATCTACGCTGACGTCTCTGTTATTTGGGGAGGATGAAGCCGAAGCCCTGAAGTCCAAAAATATTAAGCAGACAGAGTTGGTGGCTGCCCTTCGAGAGGCTATAACTCGTACAGCTGAGCACTTCCACTGTCTTGACCCTCATCATTCCAACACAGTGAGTCATTGCTCTGCAGCACACCAACCACGTTTGTCGTTTTGTGAAGTCAACCAATGGAAAAAACAAAAATGAGGGGAAACACACCTACATTTTCTGACATTTCAGGCTTTAGTTATCAGTTCTGAATGAGTTATAGTACCACATATTATTGAATATACTTATACCTTCTCTCTAGGACTTGACCCCAGATTACTCGATGGAGAGCCACCAAAGAGATCATGAAAACTTTCTTGTGGTTTCTCGTAACCGACGGAGACGAGCCAAAGCTTTGTTGGACTTTGAGCGTCACGACGATGATGAATTGGGCTTCAGAAAAAATGACATCATCACTGTGAGTAGACTTAACTGGAAAGCTCACAAAAAAACCACTGCTTATTATTACTTGTGTATTTGTACACATGCAGCATGCTTTACTGTGTTTTTGATTCACCTACCTGATTTTGTTTTGTTTTAGATCGTCTCACAAAAAGATGAACACTGTTGGGTTGGTGAGCTCAATGGGCTCAGAGGTCTGTTTATTTTATTAACATTAAATGTTGCAGAATGAGTTTACTGTGGTCTCTTTGACATCATCTGTTTCTCTGTTGTTGCAAGGTTGGTTTCCAGCAAAGTTTGTGGAGATTCTAGATGAAAGAAGCAAGGAGGTAAAAACACATAGAAAGTTTATGACGATACACAAACTTAGATTTGTCACTCGTTTCTCAAACTTGGTGTTTGACCTAAACATCTTTTCAGATGATGCACTTGTCATTGACTGGTCCGTCTGTCTCCCTCCAGTATTCATTAGCAGGCGATGACTCGGTTACGGAGGCAGTGACTGACCTGGTCAGAGGAACTCTTTGTCCAGCTCTGAAAGCCATCTTCCAGCACGGATTAAAGAAGCCGTCTATACTGGGGGGGCCCTGTCACCCGTGGCTATTTATTGAAGAGGTAGTTGTTGTTTTTTTCTTTCTTTAAGATCGTGAAACCATTTTGTTGTTGTTGTTGTAAAATAAATAAGTGTGCAATTCTGTCTTTTGCTTTTCTCTTAGGCAGCTAGTCGGGAGGTGGAGAGGGATTTCAATTCTGTCTACTCCAGACTTGTGCTGTGTAAAACATACAGGTAAATCAGTGTTTTTTTGTTTATTCAACCAAACATTATGCTTTTCTGAAGCTGTTCAGTTGAACTTGATTTGCAAAATATGGCACAGTTAAAGAAATGTTTTTTTTTTGTAAAGTACCCGCAAGAATAATCTACTTTCTTTAGAACTTGTCTGCTAGGAATTAAATATTGGAACCAGCCTGTTTGTGTTTTACCAGGTTAGATGAAGATGGAAAAGTGCTAACACCAGAGGAGCTGCTATACAGAGTGAGTGAACAGTTGAATGTATTTATTTCAGCTCCACATAAGGCAGAGAAAATGTGACACGTGTTCCAAATATTATCAATGCTTGTCTTTAAAAATTCTATTTGTTCCTAAAAAAAAATAAAAGTTAAACAGCACCTCCTCTCGTCTGTTCCCAGGCAGTGCAGTCGGTCAACATGAGCCACGACGCAGCACATGCTCAGATGGACGTAAAGTTCAGATCTCTTATATGTGTTGGCTTGAAGTGAGTTTCTAGTGAGAGCACACGTGTACAAGGTGTCTTGAAATTAAAGTTAAATGTTTTCTACCATGTTGCATCTGTTTTTTTCAGTGAGCAGGTGCTGCATCTGTGGTTGGAGGTGTTGTGCTCCAGCATGGCTGCTGTAGAAAAATGGTATCATCCATGGTCCTTCCTCCGTAGTCCTGGCTGGGTGCAAATCAAGTGTGAGCTCAGGTGTGAGACAAACCCCAACAAAGTGACTGAAAGTAATCAAATGTTCGTCTGTGTACTTATGGAAAGCAGGGTTATACATTAATAAATTAACTCAGGTGAACAAACAGCTTAATTATCAAATGGATAAAAACACTACTAAATGTTCTTCAGGTAAAATCACTTAAAGACTTGATGAATAATTTTTTTATAAAATTTAGCTTAAAGGGAAAAAACGATCTAAACTAAGCAACAAACCGTATCATTGAGTCCATCTGTTGTTGTTCTCAGGGTCCTGTCAAAGTTTGCCTTCAGTCTCTCTCAGGATTGTGAATTGCCCGACAAGAAAGAGGTACGTCAAGGAGATTGTTTGCAGTACCGACTAAAGACTAAATATTAGATTCCAGGGGAGCAATCTTTGATTTGATGCCGTTTCAGAAATCTACTGTTCTGAAAGCAGAGGTTATGGATGTGCTGGTTCAGCATCACCTCTTTAGTTGGGATCTCTAGGTAACATGTAGCTATTGAATGCTGTAGAATAGTCATTAGCTAAAAATAATTTATGATTTTTGCTTGTATTCATGAGCCTGTCATGAGGATGTCCAGTTCAAAACAAGCTCCATAAGCAGAAATTAATCAGAGAAGCATCGCTGCTTGTTTTGTCCGTGCTTGTGCAGGGCTTCACGTCCCACGTAGCCTGAACAGGACCACATTCACATTTTCAAAGAAAGACCAGCTTCACTGACCCACACATAATTAAATACTGTGAATATGGCACTCAAACTTTGTGTAACCTGTTACACAAACAGGCTAAAATCATATTTCTGCTTCACTTTCATGAAAAATATTTTTTTGACTATAGTTATGGTAGCACCTTCAATAATGAGACGTTTTCTCTGTATCTATGTCCAAACGTTGTATTTTGATCCTTTATCTGGAGGTGTACAGTGTAAAAAATGAATTGGTATAAAATAACACTGACCTCCAGCCTGACCTGTTTTTGTTTCTTTGCTTTTCATAATTCCTTAAAATGAGTCGTCGATGTTCCTCTTTCTGGTGATGCTTGTCTTTTCTACGTTTAATTAGGTTTTCACTTGTTTCTAGGAAAAGGAGCAGAAACCACTGAAAGAGGGCGTGCAGGACATGTTGGTGAAACATCACCTGTTCAGTTGGGACATCGATGGCTGAGCACAGCAGACATGTCCCAAGTTAACCTGTGGTGGATTTTGTATTTGTCTCCTTAGCAGCTATTTACAGCTCAAAACTTGAACACTATTCTTTACTGAAGCAGGTAGCCACTTCAGATCTGTTTTCCTCTCGTCTGCTTTACCTACTTGATGCCCAAATAATGACTGAAAGTCTACAGCATTTCTTGACGCATGTGTCCATTTTGCTGCGTACTTTATTTTTTATTTATCTCTAAATGAGACATCACAAGGTTCAAACATATATGCACTTGTGAAGCATTCCTCTTGTACAGGACAGTCTATACTACTGTGTGACATTAGTATGTATATTTTTATTTTTCATCAATTCCTTCCACTCTATCTTGTGCGTCAGTTTCTAATGCACATTAACAACCTTAGATATTTTATTATGGTCCTAAATTCCTTTAGACCCTATAACAGAACATTCCAAGTTGTGGTGTTGTAAAGAAACTATTTTTGAGAGTAATGTTACTAAATATCTTGAAATTCATTAAATATTTCATGGTAAACTACCGTAAAGTTGCATATACCGAGTAAAGCCTTTTCAAATTATGATATAAAAACCCTGCATGTCTATCTGATGAGTGGTAGTAAAAACTGCACTTACAGATACTCCTGTTGTCATTGTTACATAAAAAAAACATGATCTATACTTTGTGATGGTATTTCTTTGTACAGTGTGACTTTTTGTTTCTTGTATTTTGTTTTAATTTAATTTAGAACTTTAATTTTTTTATTACTAAACAAATCAGCACGCAGGTGGATTCTGAGACAAATGTTTTGTTCAGTTAGAATTACGCCCTCAGAGAACAATAAAAAAATCATAATTTGAAATAATTCTACCGTATATATTTATATCTAATTATATTTCTTGTAAAAGACATTAGCTTTCACTGTCTTCTTGCAGTGATAAAACAAAAGACGCAGATAGTTTTGTCAAAGTATTTATTCGCAGCAAAATGTTTTAAAACACTACATAGAAACACCAACAGGCCATAACAAATGGAGTACTAGAATTACAAGAACTGCAATATATTAACTGCTTCAGTGACGAGTTGTGTGCTGTTATTTGTATGAACGCTACTGGTGCAAGGTTTGTACACGGACTGACGAGGCATGATGGATACTACTGAGTCTAAGAGCACAGTGAGAACGATTTCAACCATCCAAGAGTAAATGTGTTAAATAACTGGGAAAAATAATGCCATAGCTTAAAATTTCCATCTGGAGTCCTTTTGCTACATTCGTTTCTGATTTGCATACATTTTGGATCATGTCATCCTTCCAATTAACACATCTACTTTACAATATAAATATTGTTTAAAGGTCACCGGGAATGCTTAGAGAAATTTAGATTTTAGCTGCTCGCATCGATCTTTCAGTGAAATAACTTGACGCTGAGTGAGGCTTTTAAAACCACACCACACTCAAACTATTACAACCATTCCACAGGCAGCTGACTTTAAAATGCATAAACTCTGCTTTTTGTTTGAAGTGTTTCCCTTTAAAAAGAAAATAAAATACACTTGTGTAAAAAGGCAAGGAATAACAAATGGGACTTTCTTGCTCCAAACTCCTCCATCTTCCATGTTTTTTTTTATTGTTTGTGGAATGAAAGCGAGCGAGGTTTGCATGATGACGATGGTGGTTAATTCAACTGTTTCCTGTTCCTGTTGTGGAAGGTGCTATTGTGGTGGTGGTGCCGTTTTGACCTTTTGCTTTGTGCCTCTGGCCCCCTCTTCTTCTTCCACCACCTCCAGACTTTGGCTACAAAAAAAACATTAACTCAGATAGGCAACACAAAATGCATACTGTCAAACACAAGCTCCTCCCACTTCTACTGGAGATACGCGGACCATAGAATTGGCCTTATTGACTCAACTGGCTGGTTGCTCTTGTATACATTTTATCTACGCGTTACCTTGTTTTCTTTGTTGCCCTCCTTTAATTGAGGGTCATCATCTCCCTCTCCCTTTGGAAGCCAACCACGCAAGCAAAGGAGAAGCAGAGTGCAAAGAAGTGATGTGACGAAATAAGTTTTGAAAAGAAACGAAACGGGTGACATTGATTGGTGGGTAAGATGTTGAACAAGAAAAAGGACAGAATAAAGGAGTTCGATCAACACAGTTGAAACGGATGTTGAAGGAAAACATCTAAATACCCGGGCACCATGCAGTATTTTAAGTCGTGTTCACTGACTCACCAGTTGTGGTGCGTTGGGGCCTGCTGGCTGTGCTATCGTTGCTGCGTCGTCACTGGTTGCCATGGCGCTGTCCTCTTTTCGCAGCGGCGTCTTTTTTGTGGACTGCATTTTGATTTGTGGGGGTTTGGAGTTGGACGGCAAATTATTGGTGGAGTGCAGCAGCTGAAAAAAAAAACAAATGCCACCATTTAGAACTTGGGGAATCATTTGTAATGGGATTGTAGAACTTCACTAGTATATACTGTTTTCTTGGGAAAGTGACCCTCCTAGAATTTCTCCAATCATGACAAATTTCCTTATAAGCTGCTGGCTGTGTATGAGAACATCTGTTTTTAATAAGAGCAATACCCAAATCCATGCATCTTCTCTACCTTGGTGATGGTCCCTACAGCTTTGGTGCGGCCCTCCCTGAACACCAGTCTCTGGTCACAGTGCAGGTACTCGGGGGTTTTGATGAAGCGGAAGTGGACTGTAGCTTTGTCCCCTGTCCGTAAGCAGTCTCTGTTCATTGACAAGATGGTGGCTGTCTGTCTTATACTGCCACAGTGGACTGCTCATTGCATAAGGTGAGAAGAAAATGGAAAATGTAGATTAATGCATGTTCTGCGTCTATATGTAACTGAGCAACAGGAAGCTTGTCTCTTTGTGTCACTGTTACCCACCCATGGCCTGATATCTGGGGGATATCGTAGTGGGATGATGCAGTACCAAGATTTCAGCCTCAAACTCCCAAGTTGCCTGAGGGTTTAACTTTGGAGACACCATCACCATGCCTTTCCTTATGGTGGACCGCTTTATCTATAATCAAAAACAAAGGTTTGAAACCTATTTTTTCTATAGACTGTGTACAACTGAGATAAATTTTCAATCCCAAGTCTTGTTATCCCACATGGTGGCATTGCGATGCAATACCTCCTACCTTTTTGAGAGCGAACGAGGCAGTCTGGCCTCCGCGAACCTCCTTAACGGGCATTCTTTTGCGATGAATTGATTTAACAGCAATGGGGATGAAGCTACCGAGAGGATCTGGCCCCAGCAGCATGGTGTCATTCAGACGAATGAGTCCACGTAAAGTAGTTCCTGACACTACAGTTCCCACTCCCTTGAGAAAAACAAAACGACACAAAGTTCATGGAGTTTGAGCGGGTGAGATCTGTGTTTCATTTACATAGTAAAATACATGGACTATTTGTCTGGGGTTAGTGTACCGGTACAGAGTAGGTATCGTCTATCTGAAACTCGGCAGGCTGATCGTCCCTGTAGGATGTCCGGGAGGAAAGCAGGTTGAGAAACATTTTTAGCAGGTCCATGTTCTCCCCTGTCACATTAGAGATCTGAAAAATGGGACACATTCTGGAAAGACACAAAACAACAAACATTTTACACTTTACCAATTTCAATTCTAATGATATATATATATATATATATATATATATATATATATTTGTATACAGACTCAGTACCTCTCTGAGCTGAAGTTGGAAGCTGCTACTATGACATCATCCTTGTTCTGTACCAAGACAGGAATCTTTCTACAGCCTGGAGACTTCAGTAACCTTTGGAGCAACTTCAATGTCTCTGTTAGACGGGAAAGCAAGTGTAGACATTATTTTGCGATAAAACTGCATTTATAAATACATGTTTGCTGAAGGAAAACAAAAACTGTGGACAGAAGGGAATTTCAGATTAACCTTGTAAAATGTTGGCTGGACACATGTCTATCTTGGTCACCACTACAAAAACGGGCACATTCAGAGCTAGAGCCAAGCCCAGGTGCTCCTTGGTCATCCCCACGATACCTGCGTTACTGCCCACCTGCACAAGAGAGGCAAAAAGAAATGTGTATTCATATTTATGAAAGTAACTTTATTTTTATTGTATTTGATAAGTAATCAAATGTATGTTAAATATAAAGCGTGTTATATTATTATAAGCATGTTATATATAACCATGCACAAACAAACATATAAATCCCATCACTCTTCCTCATCGAACTTTCTGACCATGAGCATGCAGAAGTCTGGAAGATGTCCCGTCATCCCAAACACGGTGGTCTTGAGGTATTTCTCGTGGCCGGCCAAGTCGATGAAGGTAATGACTTTGGACGACTTCTCACAGATTTTGGTCCAGTCCAGACTGCCTCCGTGGCTGTCGGGTTTGTTCACTACCTGGGTACAGTTAAAAGGAAGAGGCCAAAAGTCATGAGCATGAAACGCACGACCTCCAGGCTCAATAGCTATGTTTACATGCGCAAATTTTTTGACCGGATTGAAATGTTTTCATATTAAATAATTCAAATGTATCATGTATATGGGCACAATCCGTTCATGACGAGCGTTTACATGCAGCGGGCTTTGTTCTGAACAGAAGTACTGACGTGTGCAGAGTGGTAAACTCTCCTTTAAAAAAACACAGAAGAAGTTCTACTTCTGGTTTACTTCCGGGATGAACGTAAACAAACCTGAGCACCCAAAATGGACCTGCGACAGGTTTTAATGACAGTGGAGACGTTACTGCACTCCCTGACTGAGCTGCAGGTGATACAGATCATTTTGAGCTCTTTCAGAGTTTCTAGTAGAAATGTTGCTCACTGACAAGTTTTGCTTCCCTGACATGCTAATATTATTAGCATTAGCCAGGCGGAAATGACATAGGTCGCACATGCGCAGTCAGGTCAGTTTTTTCACGATCAGAAAAAAATGAACAGATCAAGTGTTTACATACATGTTGGGGTTATGAATCGGCGCAAACCACCCTTTTCGTTCTGATCACAAATTATTTCGGATCGCGCTGAATAAACAAAAAAATAACCCCAACGGGGCGTTTACATGATGCATTTTTATTCTGAGCGGTCGTTTGATCCGATTACTTATGTCCATGTAAACATAGCTAATGAAACTAACTATTCATGAGCAGTTCAAAAAACACTAAAACACTCTTGTGTAGTCCTTTTTTTATTTGTCTTCTTCTGAAAGCATCACATTGTAAGTCACTGACTAATTTTTACCACTTACACTGTAACTCAATACAGTTTAATGTATTTTTTAAAAATCTGGAATTTTCTTGTGCTAAGAGTATAGTACATACATTTTCATAGTGTGTGGCTCAGTCATTGACAGTAATAAAGATGGATGTTGATCCCGTTGTTTAGAATTAAAGCCAAAATGTCCATACTTCGTGTCCTGCCATGTATTTTTGGAGCTAGAGTCTGGACACTAGGTGTGAAGTGGAGGACCTTTAATATGAAAGTCCCACCTACACACCCTCACAACTTGCTAACAGGCTGTCTTTGTCAGGAATCAACATGAGAACAGTAGTGTTTTATAACCCCTATGCCACCCTTCTAGCCCTCACCTGTCCCTCCTGATCAAACCCCAGGATGTCGTTGCCCACACTGCTGGTCCTGCCGCTCTCCATCTCATGTTTGTGTCTGAAAAGTTTCTGCCGGGCAAAACCTCTGCCATTGTCTAGCTCACCATGTGTCAACACTCCCAGCAGAGTGCTCTTACCAGCATCCACATTCCCCACCACTGCAACCCTGAAGGACAGGAAAAGTCTTGGGTGTTCCAGATGATCAAATAACCAGCTCACCATAAGTGAAATTTGTAACGAGCTGCCACCACAACTAAACTACTAACCTGACCTCCAGGAAGTCGAGCTCACCCACTCGCCTCCGGATCAGAAAGTCACGCACCAACCCGGCGGCCTCGCTACGCTCTCTCAGTGGAATGAGGTCAGTGTCCAGCTGCTCACACATGGAGCGCACTGTGGCTATTGAAGCCTCCATATCTTTCTCATCCAGACCCCAGTCACCACCATCTACCCAGAAGATAAAAAGCAGTTACAAACTGTACAGAGTATGAAAAAGTATGTTAAATTGCATGGATACAGTGCTGACTCTTTGCAATACAGTGAAGAATGGTGTGTTATTTTACCAGAACCCATTCCAACCACATAGATGGTCTCTCCAGAGCCCTCTTCCATCCTGTCCCGAAGCTGCCGGAGTAACGAGTCATACTGCTCTCCGTTTGGGCTAACAAGTGCCAGCTGTTAGGGGAGAAATAAAAAAAAAACTATTATCGGTATGCAGGTGTTGTTTAGAAGAACCGTAGCTCAAGGGATCATCTTTTTAAAGACATATTTTGATATTTCAAAAACATAAGCTTGAGGAAAACGCATGTAAAGGAACAGCAAAGACAAATGCTCTTATTCGCTACTTCACACACGAACAGCTGTCCTTCTTCCCACAAACTTCCAACACAGACATGAAACTCTCCAGTGTCAAAAAACACGATATTTAAAACAGATTTGGGATGTTCACAGCAAGATTAAAGTATTGCTTCCTTCACTATTCGCTTTAGTCAATTACTGGTGCATTGATGGTATTTCAGAAACATATCAAACTTTTATATTCTTAAAACAAAAGCCATTTGTAGTGAGTTGTGTAAGGATGAAAAGTACACATGTACAACAAAAGTATATCAATTTGTCACTGATGTTCCCTTGGAAGTTAAAGCCAACATCAGTGACGCAACACTGTGCAATATTGAAATAGCCTTAGAAAACACAAACACCATTGTAATGTGTAATGTGACACTTGCAGGAACTAAGTCAAGTCAACTTTATTTATTAAGCACATTTTAAACAGCAGTGTTACCAAAGTGCTTAAACTAAACTGAATCTTGTATTATTACAGTCAACCCCTTGGGATTACATCATGCCAAACACTATCTATTCTGTGAGTTTCAGTCTTCACATTTGTCAGGAAAAAAATGCAACATTTCAGCACAAAGCAGCCGTTCGTGTTGCCATTATTGTAACTTGTGTTACACTTTGCTTCGCTGTCAGGTGCGCGCTCAAGCATCAGCTGGAGCTAGCGTTAGCCGCAGCTATGCTAACTATTTCGTTTACGTCAGCAACGCAGAGCCCCACACAAACTGATGTTAAATACGCAAAATACAATAAAGCGGTGCTTAATAGTCGCATCGTGCACTGAGGTGCAGTGCTTGATAATCACAGTGTAATATGCACGAGACACATCGACATTTTCATTCATTCATCCGCTGCTTGATCACCCAGGCCTAGCTTTTTACCTTGTTACAACAGTCAATCCCGCGGACCTCGGGCTCGCCGTTGATGACGTCCCCCTCCTCGAAGCACTCGTCCCCGGCCTCTTCCCCGCATCCTCCTCGGTCTGGTGCAAATATGCTCGCGGGAAGCAGCGCGTCAGCCAGCGCCACGGAGCCCGGGCTTATGCCTGGCTCATGCGCCGCAGCTATCGATGCCATTACGCCAACTCTTCGTAGTTCTAAATTTTCAGGCTGTGCAAATTGTTCTAACCACGGCTGGCAAGCGTACAACACACAGCTAACGGCACGCGCTAAGGTTTGGTAACTAGCATGAGCTACAAAACACACAAAGCAGCTAGCGCGCGTGTAATCTCATATAGATCCATACAAAAAACAAGCCGGGTAAATGTTTAGTTTAAAGCTTAAAACACCGAATCCCCATCCACCTTATTAATATTAAAATGAAGGCGTGTGTTTTCCTTGTGTCCACAAATAGTATCGCTTTTACTGCTAGCAGCGGACCAATAGCAATGAGGGGGCCGTTCATATTATTATTACACAGAGCTAGCCTCCCACTGCAGGCCTAACAATAATGTTGTAATCATCATGCAACACTTACTAACTACAGCTGATGTCATGTTTCACTGTCAAAGGTCCATGTACATTTAGAAAAAAAAAAAAAATTGTATCACACATTTGTATTGCTGTTATGACAGTGATACTAAAAGTAAGCTGTATTACTGTCCAGTTATCAATAGTCGAACTATCACTTTATTTATAAAGCACTTAAAACAGCATCAATGCCAACCAAAGTGCTGTACATCAAAAAACAAACAAGTAAGAGACAAAGCAAAAAAAAAAAAAAAAATACATAGATCCAAAAATATGTAAAGACAAGAACAAAATGACTACAATTATAGAACACAGACAAGTTATCAACAAGTGTCAAAAGACAGGGAATAAAAGTGTGTTTTTAAATAAAAACAGTGAGAGAGGGAGACTGCCTGACATGCAGTGGTAACTCATTCCACAGTTTTGGACTTGCAGCAGAGAAGGCCCTGTCACCTCTGTCAACTGCATGGAGCCAATAAAAGCATCTGATCTGCTGACATCAACGAGCGCTGTGGGACATATGGTTGCAGCAGATCAGCGAGACAGGAGGAGGCAGAACTGTTCAGAGATTTAAAAACATACAGAAGTATTTTAAAATGAATTTGAAAGTGAACCGGGAGCCAGTGAAAGGAGGCCAGAACTGGTGTAATGTGCTCTCATTTGCCTGTACCAGTTAAAAATCGGGCTGCAGCATTTTGAACCAGTTGTGAACGTGCAGTGGAGGTCTGACTTGATTCAAAAAAAAAAAAAAAAGTGCATGGCAGTAATCAAGCCTGGATGGTATGAACTCATGTATTACTGTCTCAAGGTTAGTTTTGGACAGTATGGGCTTCAATTTAGATAGTTACCTCGACTGAAAAAAAACAGGATTTAACTGATGTTTGACTGTTTAGTTTCATGGAGGGGTCCATTTTTACTTTGTTTCTCTGACGGGGCTAGAGAGGAAAGATCCATACAGTGGTTCTTGATTGTTCCATTAGGAAACAACATGACTTCTGTCTTCTACTCATTAAAGTTTTAAAAAGTTAAAGCCATGCAATTCCTGACGTCAACCAGGCAGTCAAAAACCAGACTAAAGAATAACTAAAACTGTTTATTATAAAATCTTTGAGCTAGTATAAGTAATAAACTGCAATGGATTATTAATAAAATATTCATGGAACATTTTAGGAAATAGTTAAGAAACCAGTGATTCTTCAAAGGATTGAAGTTTAACTGACTTTGTTCAGAACGCTCCCGTTGAATTGATTCGTTAGGCGTGACGGTGCAATGAGCTGTTGCTGAGAACCTAGGAAGAAACTGTGCGTGAGTATTATGATAAAACTTTGGTAAGTCCGTATTTATTTAAATAAAAACTGTTTAATTAAATATAAGATAATTAAGAAAGTCCTAAATATTACTAATAAACTTTTTTCATTCGATCAAACAAACTGGACGAGGAGACTTTGCAGAGCCTGGAATTGTTTGTTGACGAGTGTTTCGAAAGCTTAGTCATGGGTAAGCCTAAAGAAACATCCGGTGCTGCTAGCAATTCAGCTAACATCCCCACTGCTAAGCGGCATCGACAGGGCAGCTCAGACAGCGTTACGGCACCGTCTCCTGACGATTCAGGTTTAAAGGAGATATTGGAGTCAATTGACCAGAAGCTAACTAGCTTGGACGCCCGACTAGCATTAGTAGAGATGCTACATAAAGAGTTTCAAGGCCTCAGGGAGTCTTTGGAATTCAGCCAACAACAGGTAGCATCACTTGCTAGTGAAAATCAGGAGCTGAGAGGGACAGTGAAACAACTCACCGAGGAGATGACGCTGCTATCCGGGGATAATAAAAAAATCAAAGAATCGATCCTGGATATCCAAGCCCGGAGCATGCGGGACAATCTCGTCTTCTCGGGAATACCGGAGCGAGCGGACGAGGTCCCTGAGGCCTCCGTCCGTGACTTCATTCAGAACCAGCTGAAGTTGCCGAGTGACGCGGTTAAATCCATCACTTTTCACCGGGTCCACCGCCTCGGAGGTAAGAAGCCTGGAAGCAATCGGCCGCGGCCGATTGTAGCTAAGTTTGAGCATTACAAACAGAAAGAACAAATTAAAAGCCGAGGTAGAGAACTGCGTGACACGAACTTTAGCATGAACGACCAATTCCCTGCAGAGATTCTGAGTAGAAGGCGCGTCCTGTTCCCGATTAGAAAGAAAAATATAAACGAGGGCAGAAGAGCTGCGGTGGCTGTGGACAAACTTTACATCAATGGTCAGCTGTTTAGAGATCCAGAGGTTACTCCCTGGCTCTATTAATAATATAAAAAAAAGGTAAGTATGATCTTCAGTTGCTAATTTTACTTAAAATGTATTAGCAAGCATATATATTCATATTACTTACCAGATATTTATGTAATTTTTCAGCACAGCTCGGTTGGTGGGTTACACAGATGGTGGTGGTACACGGTGGCATGACACTTAATGTGGTAAGGGGGTTCTTTTTTTATTTTTTCTTCTTTTATCTTTATGTGTTTATTGTGTTTATTATCATCTCACTTTATTTTTTTTGTCTCTATTTTTCTGACTCAATAATTATTAGCACACAGGCACAAAGGCTTATATATATCCATATACATACATACAAATACCTCATAAAGGAATACATGCATGATTTACCTTCAAAAACAGCACTTAGTTTATCTATAAATCATAAATAATCAATCATTAAGGATTATGTTATTGTCTGGGTGTTTTACTATTTTTGATATTTGTGATAATGGGTGTGGTTTAATTATATTTTCACAAGCACAAATATGGGCATCTTAAGGTTTGTCACATGGAATATTAATGGAGCCGGTAGCCAACATAAAAAAAATAGAATCTTTAGCCAGATTAAAAGATTAAAGGCAGATGTTGTATTACTCCAAGAGATTCATAAATTACCGTCAACTGTGGATGAGCTAAAATCTCCTGAGTTTCCTCATGTATTCTCAGCCTGCTATAACTCAAGACAGAGAGGAGTAGCAATATTAATACATAAAAATGTGAACTTCACAATATTAGACACAGTTATAGACCCGCAAGGTAGATATATAATATTAAAATTATCCATACTCAGTCAAAAATATTGTATTGTTAGCTTATATGGGCCAAATGTGGACGATGCTGCTTTTTTTCATGATCTCTTTTCTACTCTATCAAATCACATGGATTGCTCGCTGGTACTGGGAGGTGATCTTAACTTTGGTCTAGATAACAAAATAGACAGGCTGAATGCAGTAGGAGCTCAACGCAGTTGGCAATCCATAAATGTAGTTAAACAGTACATGAGTGATTATGGACTCTGCGATGCATGGCGGTCTCTTCACCCTAATAGTAAAGAGTATTCTTTCTTTTCACATGTGCATCACTCTTACTCTCGTTTGGATTATTTTATAATCAGCAACTCATTGCTGACCAACATTTCAGACACTAAGATACACCCTATTGCTGTCAGCGATCATGCACCAGTTACTTTAAATTTAGATAATAAGAAAGAAATCCCAAAAAGTATAAACTGGAGATTAAATACCTCACTGCTTATGGATGAAGAATTTATACAATACTTTAAAAATGAATGGACATCGTATTTAGAGTTTAATGACTTGCCAGGTACATCAGCGTGTACACTCTGGGAGGCTGGGAAAACAGTTATGAGAGGGAAAATAATATCCTACGCAACAAACAAAAAGAAAAAAGAAAATAAACGTATTGAGGATTTAGAGAAATCTATCAAATTATTAGAAAGTTTACAAGGAGAGGAAACACAGACAAAACTACGCAAGATAAAATTAGAACTAAATGAATGTATTGACAAAAAAAACAAATTCTTAGTACAAAGACTTCGCTTGGAACATTTTGAACACAGTAATAAATCCGGTAGCTTTTTAGCTAATCAACTCAAATTAAATAAAGAAAAAACGTCTATATATGGTATTAAAGACACAAATGGTAACATAACTTATGACGAGGAAAAAGTAAATAGTGTTTTTAGAGATTTCTATAAAACTCTATATACTCCACAAATAAACCCAACAGATGAAGATATTAATCAATTCTTGGAGAGAGTAATACTTCCAAAACTAGACAGTAGTCAATCTTCAGAACTAGACTCACCATTAACATCAGATGAGCTCCGTGAAGCCATTAAAAACATGCCTAATAAGAAATCTCCAGGCCCAGATGGATATCCAGCAGAATTTTATAAAGAGTTCTGGAACATCCTGGAACCAATATTTCACAGAATGCTACATGAGTCAGAAGAAAATGGCAGGTTTCCAACACATATGAACTCAGCCAACATTAGTCTACTATTAAAACCAGGCAAAGACCCAGTACTACCTACCAGTTATCGCCCCATCTCTCTTATTAATGTAGATGTTAAAATAATTAGTAAAGTCCTCTCTAAAAGATTAGAGAAAATAATTCCTCTCATTATTCATCCTGACCAAACTGGATTCATAAAAGGAAGACACTCAACCACAAATACACGCAGATTATATAATTTAATAGAGTATTCATATAGTAAAAATATTGAAACGGCTATTTTGTCTTTGGACGCAGAAAAAGCATTTGATAGGGTAAACTGGAAATTTTTATTTTCTACATTGAGTAAATTTGGTTTTGGGGACCATTTCATTAATTGGTTAAAAATATTATATAACTCACCAAGAGCATGTGTCAGGACAAATAATCAAATATCTTCAAGCTTCTGTTTACAGAGGGGGACCAGGCAGGGATGTCCACTTTCACCTGCACTA